CACCCGGTTCGCGCAGACAGTATACGTCATCAGCGCGTTCACGCACGCTGTGCAGACAGAGCGAGAATGGCAGACAAGCATCAACAACCCGATCTTCCTTCCTGGTATAGTAGTACTTTTAAAGTTTTCTCACAGTGAATGACACATGATGTAGCCCAGCGGTTCCCAATTCCAGTCCTCGCGCCCCCCGCTCTGCATATTTTGCACGTCTCGCTTAGTTAACACACCTGATTCATATAACCAGCTCGTTAGAAGTGAGCTACGTGCATGAACTGTGTTCCGATCGATATGATCCCTACACAGTGTTCATTGCTCCCTCCTCACTGAGCAGGGGAAATCCGTTTAAGTTTACTTCACTTCGGAACATGGGCTGGAATTGGGAACCGCTGATGTAGCCTATTGTAGTAATGTTGTCTCTGGTATTCTGATCTGTGAGCGTATATGCGTTCAGGGCGCGTGGCTTTGGACGGCGATTGCAGGGAGGGTGGGACGTTGGCTTTCAGTGCTATCAGGCTAAAGTTAGCATTTTCCAAGATCTCCTACTGCACCTTTAAAACAAACTGGAATACAAATGAATAACTATACATGAAAAAAATATAGAAATTGATCTCAATATTAAAATCTTAATGATTGTGATAAAAACTAATCTCAATAATACTAAAATAACACTGATATCAGATGTATTACAACAGCAAACATTTTAGGCATTCTAGTTTTGAGAAAATATCCAATATCATTTAGGTTTTTCCATTTTCTCTGAAGAAATCAAAATTTAGTTTGAGAACAAAACTGGATTGTGAATCATAATGTGCAATGAACTGAATATGAATGAATTGTGAAAACGTGCTATTCATGGTCACCTTTTTTTATTTAATAAACCCCACAAACGCAAATATTCAAAAGAACTAAACAAAACCGATGACAGATCTCACATACTTACAAACCAAACCCTCTCAAATGATGAGACATGAACAGCTATTGAACAGTGCTATTCAACACAGAACACTGACTGATCAAACTCAAAGAAGATCATGTGACGCTGCGTAGTGTTTGATCAAAACCACACCCCTGCTTACCCAGCATTCATTAACCTCAGCAATGGTGAATCCACAATTCAAAATCAGAGAAAAATATTTTGTGTAAAGAAAATAACACCCGTTTTTTAGCACAGCAAATACTATGATATAGAAATACAAAACATTTTTAGAATTTAAATTTGATGAATCTTGACAACTGAATATTTATTACTGTAATTAAAGCACCACTGAAAAAATACCCAGGAGTAAAAAATACAGGCGCACTAATGACAATTCTGTAAGAAAAATGTGCTTAATTTTCATTAAAATAACATTTAAAAATATTTTTAAGGGTTCTAAACATTCGTTTCTTTAAACAAAATATAATTTATTTCTTGTGATTTTTGGGGTCCAGGTTTTGTGAGATTCACCCCTACATGGACGAAATTTCACTTAAACATCATCAAATCTCAGCTGGTCTGATCTGATAAAACTCCGACTCGTTCTTGAACATAAAAAGCAGGAGACACAAAAATCAATGATATCTGCTCAAAACAAGCCATTGAAATGTCATTAGCAGGAAGCTGGTGAAACGGCTCTGATGTGATTCAGACCGGATCTGTGATGAACACATTAGTGCTTGTTCTGCTTATTCTAGAGCAATAATCTTTGAGTCACACGCCGTTCAGCTGTAAACAAGTTTACATACACAGACAACGCTTCCAATAACAGTTTACAAAAGCATGCAAGTGGATGAGGAAACAAAATCATGAAACTTAAGAACATGTCCAGCTCATCAAAAAAATTATGCATATATTTTAAACCATCAAGACTTCTTGCACTGACATTTAGACGACAGTTAAGCACGTTTTGATTCCAATTTGTCATTATTATTGTAATGCAACAACAACAAAAAAAACCGTTCTCATTGCTGTAAAAATGACAATATTTAAATCATAAAAATGTAAATGGTAATATATGTGCATCACAGTAATAGTTGTACCCATTTAACTTCTATTATGGAGTGTAATAAGAATTATGAAAAAAAAAGGACCTTACATTAACGACACAGTGCAGGTTAAGATGTGCTTAATTGTCCCAAAAGTCTTGGTCCTAAAACAGGCTTCGTTATCTTTATGTAAAACATTTTTTTCTTTTGGTTTTGGTGGGTGAATGTATGGAGGCTTGTTTCTGCCACGGGATGAAATAAATGAGGACGTAAGTTTTTTTTTTTTTCTTTTTTAGTTTATATCTCATAAATCAGACTTTGTATCTTGCAATTCTGAGAAGAAAAAAAAAGTCAGAATTGTTAGATATAAACGAGACTTTTTTTCTCACAATTCCGCAAGTTTAGTTTTTATTTTTTAATCACATAATCTGAATATTTGCAATTCAGACTTTTTCTGAGTTAATTCTGAGTTTTATTTCACAATGCAGTACGCGAAAAACGAAATGTTTTTGTATGTACAATACGAACTCAGAATTGTCCGGTACAATCTTGCAATTCTGAGGGGAAAAAGTCATAATTATGAAATATAAATTCAGAATTACAAAATATATTCAGACTTTGTTTCTCACAATTCTTCATATATATGTATATAGTTCAGAATCCTAATATATCTCAAAATCTCGCCATTCTTTCTCAGAATTGCAAGAAAAAACATCTGAATTGTGTGATAGTCACAATTACCTTGTATTCTTTTATTTAGTATCCAGTGGTGGAAACTGTGAGCTTGTTGTGTGTGCAGTTGCTGGTCAAACAGATGATTCGTGATTCAGTGCGACTGTCTTGATGCTTCAGCCCTGAGAAGCAGTGCAAGATTCAGAGAGTCCAAAGGAGAGCGCCTGCGGTGGGGGGTTTGTGGGCCACAGACGTGCCGTTTCTGAGGGTCATTAGTGAGGAGAGCTGGGCTGATCTTCTGATTGGGATGCATGGAGTTTCTTCACAATATGTAAAGGCCAGTTCATGATTTGGCAGTTTGTGTTGCGGGTCAGTCGTTGATGAGAGCCAGGATCATGCTGCAAAACAGCAGAGAAAATAACAAACCTCATTTACACACTCGACATTAACACTCCAGCTACTGTTACCAGCTCTTTAACATTTCATCTGAACACTGAAACGCATGTGAGAGTTCAGTTCTACACTGTGTGTGATTTGATGAAGTTTTGTTGAATGCAGTATGCAGGCGTGTGATCAACCGAGGTAAAAAAAAACAAGGTTTTTTCACCCGCTCAATATGACCATATAACAATAATAATTATTAATTAAATTGAAAAGTAATCATTATCAATAATTATTGTTAATTCAAAATATTTTTTGATTACGATTTAAATAAAAAAGTCACAACAACGTAAAAATTGAGTATTTAATAAAAAATATAATCATTGTTAATAAAACTAATGTTAATAAAAACATTAATAATTATGACTTAGTATTTAATATAGATTGATATTTACATTCAAAATAAATATATGAATAAAATAATAAATATACATTACTATTGCAATACTATTCTACTGTAAAATAAAAACAGAGTTGGTCAAATAAAAGTATAATTACAATAAAAGTGAATAATAATAAAGATTGTTGATAATGATAAAAACGAATCATTTGTAGTACTGTTAATTATATATACAATACACTGAATAAGTATAATGATACATATTAACACTAGTAATTATTACTGTTATTGTAGCTAATAATAAACAAAACACTGACAATAATAGTAATTATTATTACATTATTTTTCATTTTATTATTACTTTAAGAAATGTTGCTATTCCAATACTATTTTTTTTACTATTATTTAATCATATTATTATTAGAACAACTGTAAAACTTACAGTAAAGCTACAAATATCCGTCTTAATTTCTTTCCTTTTTAAATGTTTAAGCATAGAGCTTAAAGCTTCTCTTTTGTTAACAACAGATGCGGTTGATGTCAGCTGCATTTTCAAATGTATCCGCGACCCAAGCGTCAGTCTCCTCCTGTTTAAGTGGACGCTTCTTGGCCAGAATAAGCTTCAGAGGCTGTGTGTGTTTACCTGTACAGGTAGATGAAGAAGCAGAGGAGGTGGAAGCCCAGTTTGATCATGGCCTCCTTCATGTGGGACTTGAGCTGGCCTCTGTTGTGAATCTCTGTGGGATCGTACACTCCCATGTTCCCCATGGGAACCTTCACGTATCTGCTCACACACACCACCGACAGTTAGCTGGAGCGCTCCTCGGGTGTATATATGCAGTGAGTGAGGTGTGGTTGGGCTGAATCACCTGTAAACGTCCCAGGATGCCACAGGGAGGTTGAGCAGGAACACAAACCAGTGCATGGAGACCAGCATCAGGACCGTGGCCAGAGCCTGAGCGATCATCTCAGGAATGACCCACTGAACACAAACCACAGCATCACCGCCAGAACAAAACATCAGATAGGAGCACATATACAGAGCATTTCCAACGGTGTTTCTTTTGAAGTTTGTTTGATTTGTCCTGAAAATGGAAACGTTCAAATAATAGCAATGCTGCTGTCAGATAATGAATTAAAAATCACGTTCCTGCTGCTTCCCTGTCTCTCACATTTCTGAGATTACATTTGATCTGAAATGATGCACTACCAGTCAAAACGGGAAGATTTTTAAACAGTAAGATTTTTTAAGAAGACTCCTCTGCTCACCAAGCCTGTATTTATTTGATCCAAAATACAGCAAAATCAGTAATAATGTGAAATATTTGTACTATTTAAAATAACTGTTTTCTATGTGAGTATATGTTAAAATGTAATTTATTTCTGTGATCAAAGCTATATTTTCAGCATCATTACTCCAGTCTTCAGTGTCACATGATCTAAAGAAATCATGCTAATATGCTGATTTGCTGCTCGAGAAACATTTCTGATTATTATTATCAATAACTGAAACAGTTAAGTACATTTTCAGGATTTTTGGATGAATAAAAAGATCCAAAGACCAGCATTTATTTAGAAATCAATACTTTTATTTATCATGGATGTGTTAAATCGACATTTATAATGTTGCAAACGATTTCCATTTCAGATAAATGCTGTTCTTTTGAACTTTCTATTCAACAAAGAAACCTGAAAAAAATTCTACTCCGCTGTTTTCAACATCATAATAATAATAATAAATGTTTCTTAAGCAGCAAATCAGCATATCAGAATGATTTCTGAAGATCATGTGACACTGAAGACTGGAGTAATGATGCTGAAAATACAGCTGCGCATCACAGAAATAAATTAGTTTAACAGATCTTAACATAAAAAACAGCTATTTTAAATAGTAAAAATATTTCACAATATTACTGCTTATGCTGTATTTTGAATCAAATATATGCATGCTTGGTGAGCAGAAGAGTCTTGTTTTAAAAAATATTAAAAATCATACTGTTCAAAAACTTGAAACTGGTAGCCCTTTGCTTTAATGACAGAAACCCTGGAGCTGAGCAAAACCTGAGGATCATGTTCTCCAGCATGACACTGTGCTTCATTCAAAGAGTCATGATCAATGTCACGAATGAACTTATTTACAGCACTGGTGCAGAATCCTCATTGTTACATTCACTGTCTTTGCTGCATTTCATTTGCTCAATGTTCAAGTAAACACAAAACAACGACTCAGATTTCTGCTTTCAGCTTTTGAACCGCACTGCACATATGTTCTCGAATAACTGAACTGTAAAGAAAGAAGTTTGCCATCAGCCTCACTTTGTTTAGCTTGGAGCAGCAGGATCGAGCATTGATGTAGTCACACTCCAGATCAGACAGAGTAATAATCTGAGCATGCAGTTAGGGAAATAATATACAGATCATTAATAACAACAATGCGATCTCTCACAGTTATTATGAGCTTCCTCAGCTCAGAACAGGAGAGATCACGACGTTTAACCCCTTCACTCAATCCTAGTAAAACACGGTAATGCAGAGAAACACTCATTATACAGATACATCCTCCTGAATGACCAGCACTCACAGCCTGCAGCTGCTGTGCTCACTGACGCACATCTTCACTCAGCTCGAGAGTTTAGGAAGGATACGAAATACACGGAGAGGAATATTAAAGCACAGCAGTCGACGAGGGACGAAATAAACACAGCGGCCTCCATGTTTGCGCTTTCGCCGCTTCCGGCTGGTTCCTTCTTCCCGCGCTGCTGAAGCGTCGGTGTCGAGTCACTAGAGCGCCACCTTCCGGAGGAACCGAGTCCTGCAACAACACGAGCAGAGCGCAGGAACACGCTGCTGCCTCACAAGCAACTTTACATGTAACGAAATTACGCAATTTAATGACAAAATAAATGTAATTGTAATCAGTTACTGAGAAAAAGTCTGATTTTGTGCTGGCTGTGCTTTAAAATTAAATGATCATAATCTTAATTCAAGTGATGAAGGATTTGGAAAGTGACAGTAATCAGTGTTGAGTACAGTAAGGTTAACTCTGCCTGCTTTACAGGGTTGAGAATGATTAACAGTTGAAAACATTAGACATTTGGAAAAGTAAACAAATGTAATCAGTTACGTTACTTTGACATAGTAATTGAAATACACTACTTATTACATTTTAGATATATTTTAGACTTGTAAACCAGCCTATTGCATTTCCAAAGTACTTTTATGGCTTGAATGAAAAACACAACACGTCTCAATAAACACAACACTTAAAATAAAAAAAATCATAATAGCGTCAAAAACATATACCATTAAAATTGACAAACAAAGGCAAAACATTTTTATTAATTAATCTTATTTGTCAAATTTGTCAAATTCGGAAAAAAAGAGAACTGTTCGAGAAGTACTCAGTCTGATTCAAAGCGACTCGTGAGTCATTTAGGTCAGTTCTGCCAACAGTTTTATTGTGAACCAATTCATTGAAAAGATTCGACTCAAAAGAAAAGTTCATTCATGAATCGGACATCGCTATCCCTTCTAGCCACTTCTGTCTAAAACATAAAACTAGTATTTCCAAACAGAAAATGCAAGATTTAACTTGTTTTTTTGTTTTGTTTTTTTTATTTGATCGCATAAATATGATAAATTCAAACATTTATAATAAACACAATTTTAATCATTCTAAATTATGGATAGTTTTAGGCATTCATTTTTTTATTTTCATTGTGGTACAAAAACGATCTATTTAAAAATAGCTATTTATTTGACACATTTTAATTATTTTTTCATATTTTAAATAAAATTAATATAAATGATTATTACAAAAACCACAAAATATTCATGTTTATACAAGTAAAATGTCTCGTTGCATTATAAATTACATTCCAATTCATCAAATACTTAACGGTATGATTAACGTTCCTACAATCTTACTATGGTGAAGGCTTCGCGACGTTCATTCAACGGGTTTAACCAGAGATATTATTATTATTATTATACCTTCAAGTGGGTTTGGTTTAACTTTGGCTGCAAAGCATACGTTGACTGAACTTCATGAATATTAATTAGTATACGCTGCTGGACTCGAAAGGCTTCTACGCAGCGCAAGTATGTGCTAATTAATATTCATGAGCTGTGTTTTCGCCGTAGTAGGGTTCGTCGGTACCGAGCACATCTCTCCGGTTGCGTTTATGGCGGAGCCTTCAGCGCGGCGAGATGACGACGAGTGGCACGATTTTAACGCATTCAAGAGCGGAACGGGACGAAATACTCATGTGGAGCGGGTTCGAGTGAACGCTGAAGACATGTCGCTGCTGCTGGATGGGGTTTCTGTCACAGAGCTCGCGTTTGAGACGAGCCCTTACACAGAGGACATGATCACACACTTCGACGAGAAGTTACAATTATGCTTCCAAAATGTAAACCCTAAACCGGACGCAATAAACCAAATGACGCCGATAAATGAGGATACGACCCTGAAATGCGATGAGTAAGTAAAGAAAAGCATGCATCGGGGCATTAATGTGCATCATCATGGTTGTTATTTTCATCAGTGGACCATTGAAGACATTCTGCAAGCGTCTAATGAGTGCGTGAGTCATGACAGGATGCTGGAGTGGAATAACATCTAATGTATTATGGTTCATCTTGTGAAATGTGCGCAGATGATACCTTGCTGATAGCCAAGAGATTGATTATTATGTCAAGAGGTCACGTGACTGTGGATGTTTACTGTGTCTCATGTATACAAGCATGATTCATCATGAAGCAGAACTGAAACAGTTGTACAGTAATAGTTTATACACGGTACATGCTGAGCAGATTATTGCTGAAGTGAAAGTACTTCAAATTATGAAAGTGTAAAAATGTATAAAAGTTCTAAAATGACAGTTTTTTGACCAAATGTAAAAAATTAGCCATTGTGAATAATTTGAAGGGTTATTGGCTCTTTGTGTCTTCTGTGTGAGAAAGGGGCTTTGCTCACAGACTCCCTCTCCTCCGTGCAGGATCTGGGAGGCTCTCACGGATAACTATGGCAGTGTGATGCCGGTGGACTGGAGTCAGTCTAAAGCTCGCTCACTTCACCTCTCAGCGCTGAGCATTGAGGACAGACCGGTGAGTCTCAGTCTCGAGCCTGTGTCCGCTGACAGTGACCGCATTCAGCCCCGCAGTAACTCTTCCTCTGTCTCGGTCCGTCAGCGGATGGAGAGTGTGAACCTGGACCTGTCTGATGATGAGGACCTGAGGGAGCAGATGGACATGCACTCCATCATTGTGTCCTGCATCAACGAGGAGCCGCTGCTCACTGCTGAACAGGTGAGGACCCAACCTCAGTCCTCACAGACAATCAAAGAGCTGTACGATCAAAAGAACCAGAAAACAATGAACCGCTTTGGCCAAGCAAATACTGACCCCAAACCTTTGAACTGTATAATTCATACAGCGCCTTTCCATAGTTCATGGACACTTTACTTTTGAGAAATGAACATCAATTGAATATTACAAACAAACATTAGAATAGTACAAGAAAAATACATGAATACTTTTATTAATACTTTTATTTAGCAAGGACGCAAAGTGAGAGTAAAAACATTTATGATGTTTCAAAAGATTTCAAATAATTGTTCTTTTGATCTTTCTATTCCTCAAAGAATTCTGGGGGGGGGGGGGGGGTTACATTTTTTATAAATTGCTTGTAAATTGTGTACGTTTTGTGAATTAGACATGCTTTTTGATTACTGAAATTAAATTCATCCATTAAAAATAAGATTTTGAAAAATTGGGTAATTTTTATTTTTATGCCAGAATAAAAAATAAAAAGGTAATTGCGATTCTTTATCTCACAATTAGTTAGTTGTGAGATATAAACTCTTGAGATGTAAACTATAAACAAAGTCTGAATAGTGAGAGAAAAATTCACAATTACCTTTTTTATTCCATAAATAATAAAACACAATCTGGGAAAAAAAGAAAACAAATTTCCCTAAAAGTATCACGGTTTGCAGAAAAATTATGAAAAACCTGAAATAAAATAAAATAAAATTAAATTAAATTAAAGGAGACATATTATGCCCCTTTTTACAATATGTAATATAATTCTCAGGTGTCCCTAGAATGTGTCTGTGAAGTTTCAGCTCAAAAGAATCCACAGATCATTTATTATATCATTTTGAAAAGGCCTATTTTAGCAATATACAGTAAATAAATCAATAAATCCACTGCTCTCTTGTCTCTGAGGCTGGGACTGTAAATAGTGTTCTGTGCTCGTCTGTGCAGCCAAAGACAGAACAGTTAGCATGCTTTGCTCAAACTCTCACCATGGCATTAGAACTGGTACACCGTTGTCGCTTGCGAAAACACAATAATGACGCCATTGGTGGAAACTTACAGATTAAGGGGCTGTAATATTATAATGAGATCCCTTTGCAACGTCACTAGGAGAGCGAAATCATACGCGCTCGTTTTTCCCAGACGCTTGCAGAAAAAGGCGTACCAAAACAAAGTTACTGGGTTAATCTTTTTCACGTTTTCTTGGTTGGTAGATGCACCGGGGACCTGATTATAGCACTTAAAACCTGGAAAAGTCAGATTTTCATGATATGTCACCTTTAAATAAAATGATTAAACTTATTTTAAAGACTTGAGTAATGGATACTGAAAATTCTGCTTTGCTATACATCACATTTTAAATGATATTCATATGCAGTTATTTTAAATTGCAATAATATTTCACAATTTAACGTTTTTGATAAAATCTGAATGCATCTTTAGGTGATTGAGGAGCTAGAGGAGCTCATGCAGGACTCCCCAGAGATGGAATCAGCGCGGATCGCTCCACACTCAGAGCTCTCGCTCATCTCTCAGAAGACGCAGAGGTCTCACAGCAGCCAGATCTCCGAGGAGCGTGAGTACGTCCCTCTGGAGGTCAGGTGTAGGGCTGTGGAGGCGTGTCTGAGGTGTGCTGTCTGTGCAGGAGTGAGGCTGATGTCTGCGCTGGAGCTGAACGACGAGCTGGAGGACGTGGAGACGGCCATACGCAGCTATTCAGAGGAGCTCATCCAGCAGCTGGCCATCAGAGATGAGCTGGAGTTTGAGAAGGAGGTGAAGAACAGCTTCATCGCGGTTCTCATAGACGTACAGAACCGGCAGAAGGTCCACCGAGAGATGCTGAAAAAGAAGAGGAAAGTGAAGAGCGCGTCTGCATCAGAGAGGCTGCCGTCTTCTGTGAGTCGCTAGATTGGGACGTTTAGCGGAAGTATTTGTGTTTTTATTAGTGCTGCATACTTGTAAATACAGGTAAATATTTTCAAAATATATGCTGTATGTGTGTGTCTTTATATATACAGAATAAATATACACAGTACACACACATGTATTTATGTAAACACAAACTTTTATTATGGATGCGATTAATCGCGATGTAAACAGTTTAAATATGTCATTTTGATGATCAAAGATAAGTTTTAAGGGATAAAATATTTGACTACAGGGGGACTTTAAGATATTTTGAAGAATGTTGGTAACCAAGCAATTTCTGATCCCCAATGACTTCCATAATATTTTTTTCCAAATTATGGAAGTGAATGGGGACCACCATCATCTGTTTGGTGAGTAAATGATGACAGAATGTTCATTTTTGGGTTAACTATTCTTGGGCGAAGTGTTTATCTTATTGAACAATTTATTTGTTTATCTTATTGAACAAATTATTTGTCAATTTGCATTAGGGCTGCACGATTAATTGAATGCAATTGTCATGCGCATTTTGATAGTAATGCCGGTTCCGTGCTTCACTGAAAGATTCGCATGACAATCACAGCTTCTGTCGAATCGCGATCTCGATTCCATTTCGATTTATCGTGCAGCCCTACTTTGCATCCAGATATTTGAATTACAAAGCAGATCTATAACCCTTTAAAGTCTGCATGAAGTTATGAACGACTTAACTACAATAGTTTGACATATTTCCAAGTGGGGCTTTTTCAAAAATAAAAAAATAAAATAATAATAAAATAAAATAATAAATGGGACTTGATTTTCTCAAATTGCAAACATTTTTATTACAAGATTTCTGAAATGATAGGTTTAAATATGCAAATCAGGCACTATATATTTAAATACGCACTAATTTACATACATTACCTGAACAGATATCTGGATAAAGCCAGGTTAAAAAAATCCTTTTATTTTGCTGACATATTAGAGTTATGTTTTTACAGAGGGGATTTTGGAAAAATGTTGACAATATTTTCTAATTCATGGAGTCATAAAAAGAGATTTTCTCATTTTATAACTCTATAAATCCAAAAATACATCCAGAAAATCAACGTTTTTTAGAAATAAAATGTATAAATCATGTAAATGATATATGAACAAACCAAATCTATATAGGAATAAAACTGTAAAAACTGGTGTTATTTAAGTGCTACTGAAAAGGAGAAACAACTCAAACGGCCTTTATTTCAAACCCATAAGACTTATCTAGAGAACACAAGAGAAGACATTTTTAATATTTTCTTAGCATTTCTCATCCACTCATTAAAGCTCATGCAAGCAAAATTGTCAAGCTGCATCAAAACATAGAAAATGTAAGGCATGAATCAAGCAGTTTAATCCAAGTCCTCTGAACAGATTTAATTTAGGTTTTCATTCACATATAAACATCAACACACATACATAGAGCTCGTCAAAAATGGTAAAGAATCTCAATCGCGCTTGAGCATGTTTGAGCTTTAGTTTACCATACTGTATTTGATGAGCTCTATGTATGTGTGTTGTTCAGTGTTTAAATGCTGATGCCCATCACAACCCAAACCCACTGTGACAAAATTCAATCACAAGTGGCTGCTGGTCTGGAAACACATCTTTTCCAGGTTTTTGACGAGCTCTTTCTTCTTCCTCAGATACCTCTTGCTGTAGCTGATGTGATTTGATTTCTCTTTCATTCTGTTCTTTCTGTCCCGCTCTCTCTCTTCTGTTCTGTGCCTGTAGCGCTTCAGCATGGAGGGAATCTCTTCTGCCATTCAGAACGGCTTTCGCCACACTTTTGGCAATGTGCGCGGGGAGAAACAGGTGCCTATATCTCTGGCTTTCTCTTTTCTGCTCTTCTGGGAGTGTCGAATCTGCTCCTAAAATTCACATCTAATACAGTATCTGCAGAAACCTTGCCAGCTGGATGCCACTTATCTTTTTGGCCATTATAGGCGTTCTGTCAATCAGGTTACTTAGTTGTATTTCATGTAAATGTATCTGTTCAGGTTTAATGTGGCCACCCTAATAGAGATCTTACATTGTATATATATATATATATACATATATATATACAGTGGGTACGGAAAGTATTCAGACCCCCTTCAATTTTTCACTCTTTGTTATATTGCAGCCATTTGCTAAAATCATTTAAGTTAATTTTTTTTCCTCATTAATGTACACACAGCAGGCTGCAATATAACAAAGAGTGAAAAATTTAAGGGGGTCTGAATACTTTCCGTACCCACTGTATATACATCTTCATTGTTGTTGCATCACAAAATACTACTGTGATTGCAGAAATGTATATAAAGAGATTGTAAATTTTAAAAAAGTTCTAAGTAGATTTTCCAAGACTGCAGATGTTTTGAGACTGATCCCATGTCTGTCTGGCATGTTCAACCCCTCTCATCTGTGCTTTTATTCAGTATGTAACAACAGTCATCCCTTACGAGAGAAAAGACGGACCACCGTCACTCCAAGACCTTCAGATTTTTACCAAAAGTGAGACAAAGTGCTTTTATTTAACATGAATACCCTGTTTTTTTCTGCTGCAGGTTGTTAGTAGCATGCACGTACTTTAAATCATGACATGTGCTTTCCTACAGTTTTAGAAGCCATGAGAGATGACAGCGATAAAGTCCCAAGCCTCCTCACAGACTACATCCTCAAAGGTAACAGCAGCACAACGAACCGAATGCATACTATTTAAGAATAGAGCGCTGCAGTGATGACATGTTTTTGTAGGCCAAACCCTAAGTTCACATCACCCTGATTCACCCGACAAAACCCAGTAGGATTTTGGAATATTGCAGTAAATAAGATCTGTGACTAACAAAAGTGAATGATTCTTACATGTTTAGTTCATCATGATAATCTTCACAAATGAATGCAACGTTGATGAATTTCAAAACCTTAATACAGTCAGCAGAAGTAAAAAGCTAAACGTAGGCTATAAACCTACCACTATTGGTCACATGACTTCAGCGTCACCACCATTAGTCTTTCTGTCTTTATTTTAAATAAAATATTTTTCCTGAAAGTTGGAGTTAGAATAGTTTAGAGTGTGACAACAAACACAATGAGGCTGTGAAAGCGACTAGAGTTGATCTGTTTACTGTGACACCGGATGCCTGCACGCGCCCAAAGACAGTTGGACATAGTGGTGTATTAGAGGTAATACATCATTTGTGTTCTACTGAAGAAACAAAGTCACCTACATCTTGGATGCCCTGGGGGTAAGCAGATAAACATCACATTTTCATTTTGGGGTGAACTATCCCTTTAAGGCATTAAACATTAAAAAAAAAAAAAAAACCATCATCCCTGCAGCATTATTTTGACTTTCTTTCAGTTAATGAGTTTGAATTGAAATTGAATTGGTCACAAGGAACAGGATGTTGAATTGGATTGGCAGAAAGAAATTTTAATTTTAAGAAATGTGAGAAGTTTTATTAGTTCAATGCGAGTTTTACAACACGCCATAAGTGTGATAGTGCCGTACACTGTATTCAGATAACTTTATTAACATCAGAATGCTAAATATATAACAGAAAATCCCACAGTGCATTAATTGTGTGGAGGTGTCCCTGTACCGGTGAGATATAATTATGGATATAATGTCAGCTCTGCAATTATTGGAGTTTTTCATGAAAGAGAGCAAAAATTCAAGTGTAAAATAATTTGTAACATAACAACAAAACAAAACTGATGTGTTCACAGTGGAAAAGGCGCTCATTTTTCAGTGTCTACAAAGCCAGTTATGTTTAACATGACACTTCCGTATTATAAAATAATTCATTAAAAAATATGTTCAAAAAGTGGTTATGTAGAGTTAGTGGAATAGCTTTAGAAGTTTATTTTAATTACATTATTTCTGTAGATTTTTCGTGGTTCCACCACAGGATAAAAAATAGTAACGTAATTATGACTTTTAATCTCACAATTCTAACTTTTATTCTTAAAAATTGTGAGTTTAGGCTTTCTCGCAGTTCTAAGGTTTTTTTCTCAGAATTGTGAGATGCAAACGCGCAATCGCATGTTTATAAGTCGAAATTGCGAGATACAGAGTTGCATTTGTTATATATAACTTAAAATTTGGAGAAAAAAGTCAGAATTGCGAGATGTTAACTCACAACTATGAGTTTATAACTTTCGATCGCAAGACATAAACTCGCAATTCTGAGATGTTAAAGAAAGAAAGTCAGCATTGTGAGATGAAATGTCGTTTTTTTTATTCCATAGCGGAAACTTTATGGATATATATCTCTAAATTTAGAGATTTGACACATTACAATTCTGCATCCTGTTTGCTCTCAATTTAATTCTGAATGACACTAATAAATAGTAATAAATAGTGATCGTGTTGTACTGTTTGCAAAGGCAAACTTAATTGACACCCTAACTAATCATCATGAAAATCCCCGTAATGTAGAATTATTTTGCTCTGCTCACATTTAAGCTGTTCACTGTCTGCATGGCATCTTCTCTTCTGTTGCTGTGAGGTTTGTAAGAGGTGTAGTTAATGAGTAATATGATGAGCATTTAGATCACACTGTGCCTGTGTTTGCTATATAATGTGTCTCCCTGCCGTTACTATAGCAACAGATAGCATTCACTGCTGAGTGATTCAGTTTAGTCTCTTTTTAGTGGCCCAACACATGTCTAAGGAAAAGAATTGTGAATTCTGTCATTATTTACTCACCCTCATGTAATGTGTATGACTTGTATATGCACTACTGTTCATAAGAAGCCTCTTCTTCTCACCAAGGCTGCATTTTTTAATCAAAAATACAGTAATATTGTGAAGTATTATTACTATTTAAAATAACTGTATTCTGTGTTACTATATTGTAAATGTAATTTATAGCTGTGATGTAAAGATGAATTTTCAGCATCAATTCAGCTTTGATCACAGCAATCAATTACATTTGAACATATATTCACATAGAAAACAGCTATTTTAAATTGTACGAATATTTCACAATATTACTGTTTTTACTGCATTTTTAATCAAATAAATGCAGCCTTGGTGAGCAGAGGAGTCTTCTTTCAAAAACTTCGTATTCCAATTATTCTAAACTTTCAACCAGTAATGTAGAAGGAGAATTTCTGAAGAGTCCATGCAAAAGTTCAACAGCAAAAGCTTTTTTTTTCACAAATTAAGATATTTTTGATGAATTCTGAGAGCTCTCTGACCCTCCCATAGACAGCAATGTAATTATCACGATCAAGGTCCAGAAACTTAGCAAGGAGATTGGTAAAATAATCCATGTGACATCAGGGGTTCAACCGTAATTTTACGAAGCTACGAGAATACTTTTTGTGCGCAAAGAAAACAAAAATAACGACTTTATTCAACAATTCGTCTCCTCCCTGGTGCCATTTTGGAGAGTATCCACTGAATACAAACAGCGTATGATATTCTGTGTCAGCTGCGTCACGCGGATCATTTTTCTACAGTGTTTACGCTTTGATTTGAACGAAAACAACGTATCCGTGTGGTGTGGATGACACAGAACAGCATACGCTGTTTACATCCAGCTGATACTCTCCAAAATGGCACCAGGGTGACGCGGAGGAGACGAATTGTTGAATAAAGTCATTATTTTTGGACGTTTCTGGACCTTGATCGGGGTAATTACTTTGCTGTCTATTGGAGCGTCAGAGAGCTGTCAAAATGCATCAAAAATATCTTAATTTGTGTTCCGAAGATGAACGGAGGTCTTACGGGTTTAGAACAACATGAGGGTGAGTAATTAATGACAGAATTTTCATTTTTGGGTGAACTATTCCTTTAAGATTCTTCAGAAAATCTCCTTTAGTTTCTCCCTTTAGTATAACATATAAGCAGACACTCATCTGATGATTTTGATCATGATTTCTCATTCACAGTGCTCTGTCCCACCTAGAGAGAGACTCGTCTCTGCAGCGTCCCTGGAGGGAATTACTCACTGTGTTCCTCAGATTTCTCACTGCATGATGTGTTCGACTTCAGCTGCAGGACTCTGAGTTCTTCTGTACTGATGTGATGGTCTGTATTTTGCATGTTTTACCGCACATGGCAGTTTGCAGTATTCAGTGTTTGTAGGTTTGTGTGTTCAGTGACTGGAGGAAAAATCCGGATCTGGACTGTAGGACTTGTCTCAGTGTAAATGTCCACCTTATTGTGCAGCTTAGTAAGGTCATTTCTGTGAATGTGCGAGACTTCTGATTCATTAGGTAAATACTGTATATACAAGAATAACAACATGCAGTAAACAGTAAAACTATTTGCACTACAATCCAGTGTATTTAAGACTGTGATAATACATTAAAATAATATGATAACAAATACCAGTTTGAAATCAAGCATCATACTAGACTGCTTTAAGGGCTAAAATAGCAGGACATGAATGACACCGGAAGCCTCACACATTCAAGTTATAGATGTCTGCATCCATTCTTACAGTAAAAATAAGGTGGACAGTATTAATGTACTAATGCAGCGCGAGTCCCGTCAGAGAGAGATGTGGGTTAGTAAAGTTATTATCATCCCATGGTAAGCAGCAGTTTATCCACGTACTGTATGATCTAAATCAGTGGTTCTCAACTGGTGGGTCACAACCCCAAAATTTATCTGCAGGCCTGTTCTAATAAATACTTAATAATAATAATAATAGTATAAATCAATAAAAAGTAATTAAAGTGGCATACAAATAATGTAACTTAGACACACTATATGTGACACTTGCTCATATCATTAATAATTTGACATTGTTGGCGCTATATAATATATATATATACACACACACACACACACACGCACACACAGTACAGGTGCATCTCAAAAAATAGAATATCGTAAAAAAGTGCCTTTTTTTGTGTAACTTAAAAAAGTGAAACTTTCATATATTCTAGATTCATTACATGTAAAGTAAAACATTTCAAAAGTTGGAAGTTATAATTTTGATGATTAGACCTTGCAGCTCATGAAAGTCAAAAATCCAGTATCTACAATATTAGAATATTTCCTAAGATCAATAAAAAAAAAAAAGGATTTGCAAAACAAAAGTTCAAGTTCATTTCTGCACTCAATACTTGGTCGGGGCTCCTTCAGCACAAACTCCAGCATCAGTGAGGAGTGAATGGAAGCGATCCGCCTGTGGCTCTGCTGAGGCACTATTGAGCTTCAGCTCGGATCCACTGTTTCTCATCTTTCTCTTGAAAATATCCCATAGACTCCATATGGGCTTCAGGTCAGGCATGTTGGCTGGCCAATCAAGCACAGTAATATCATGGTCGGCAGACCACTTGGAAGTGGTTTGGCACTGTGGGCAGGTGCTAAGTCCTGCTGGAAAAGGAAATCGGCATCTCCATAAAGCTTGTCAGCAGATGGAAGGATAAAGTGCTCCAAAATCTCCTGGGGCCGGTTGCACCAGCTGGACGTACACCCGGTTGTAAGACTAGGCTGGACGTAAAATGCGCTTTAAGTCGTGCGTAGAATTTATACCCGTTGCACCATCTCGGCGTAGTGCTACGTCTGACACGAAATCTTACGCCTAGTCAGAGGTAGGTGTAAAGTGAAGAGTCATGATTTGCTCGGACATTATTAGTTTTTAGGATTCATGTCTGTTAGTTAATTATTACTGCAGACGTGACCTGTAATGTTTATGGTCTTTTCGGGCAGGCTAAGCGATATCAATCGCGATGCTCAGCGTAGACTATCCTACCACACTGTCGCCATTGAATACAAAATATATTTCTGTCAAGCATGTAATAAATATGCAGTAAAATATTACATATGAACTGGGATTATTAAAAGAAACTGAACCATTTGACATCTTGCTTGGAAGGACAGTGTGCTTGAAAATATTTCACGTCTTTAATTCAATTCATTATTTGTAGCGTGCCTGCCATCCAATAATCGCAATAAGTTTTGTGCTTTGTTACTTTTAATCAGAAATAAATAAATAAATTCTGTGAATTTTATCACAAAATACAAACCATAAATGTGTTTTTTCAGACACAGAAAGACAGCAAAACACAAAATGTCACGTAAAGTCACATTTACCTCAGGTAAGACATTCATTGTACATAAACTTGATAGTCAGCTATAAAAAAAAATAACTCTAGAGAGAAGCATTGTATTACATTTATTATATTTTACTTAACCTTGATGAAATCTGTCATGGGAGTGTGCAGGGAGACTTCAGATATAAAAACGCGGACTTGTTAGGAAATGTTTACTCAATGAAATAGCGCGGTGATTTCACTTATATTATGTCTTGAGCAATTCAGTTCTATATTAGTAGTTGTAGCCATTGCGACGTGAACGTCGTCTCAGCTATATCTATAACTGAGGGAGAATGTGTACGCCAGACGTAGTTGCGCCTGATCGTAGTTTCAGTTGGTGCAACAGGTGTAAATATTTATCGTAAAGCAGGACGTTGCAAAGCCAAGCGTAGGGCTTACACCCAGTGTTTTTATGTCTAGCTGGTGCAACCGGCCCCTGGTAGATGGCTGCATTGACTTTGGACTTGATAAAACACAGTGGACCGACACCAGCAGACCCCAAGTCATCATTGACTTCCAGAAGTGGCTTGGTAGCTCTTTTCCTGAAGACGTCTGAGCGTGGGGACTCTTGATCAGAGCATGTGAGCGGAGCGGAGCGTGAGCGGTAATATTTCCTTACGAGCGCAGAGCGCCTTTCTGAAGATTCCGCTCCGCTCGCTCAATATATATATATGTGTATGTGTGTGTGTGTGTGTGTGTGTGTGTGTGTGTGTTAAATCTTCTCTCTAACCATGTCTTGAACATTGAGAGGGAGCAATTTTATTTTTATAATAAAGCATGAAAAAATAGAATATGTGAATTCTGGGTCTAATTCTAGTTGTTCAGTTTGAACTATTTGCAAATAATATTTTAAACACATGCACTATTATTTGTATGCCTAATATGTTTAATGCCTATTATGTTAAGCTTTGATGCAGCCGCGGGAGACCGCAATGCGCAAACGGCCCAAAGTCTCAGACCATGTTTTTACCAGCTGCTCATGTACGTCGGGGAAGAAGGGGACCGACGTCCTCGAGTCAGCTTTCCGGGTGGACCTGAAATACCAGGAGTCAAGCTTACTCCTGGCAGGCTCCTCTGGAGGACTCCAGGTAAGCTCCAACTCCTGGACAGCCCTTGACAGAACCCTCATGAGCTCCTCCTGGAGGTCTGGGGGCCCCATGCTGTCCGGCTGATCGGACTCCGATCCCGCCCAATCCTCCCTCTCCGAGGCCGAGATGGACATCGAGTCATCCCCCTCCTCCTGGCTAAAGGATACAAACTCCGCGATGTTGGAAGGAGGGCGGAAGCAGTCCTCGGGGAGTGAGACCGGGGAACGGGGCGACCGTTGGGGTTGGTGGAGCGACAAGACGACGCTCCCGTCACCGGGAGAGCCCACCAGTGGCATGCTGGCGGCAGTGGGCCTCATCCCGAATAGGCCGCGAGCCACATCGCGGCGGGTCTGGAGCACGCGGGCCGGAAGGTCCGCGCAATGCCCGCAGTTGGACTCGTCCAGCGCCGCCTCGGCGTGGGCCAGGCCCAGGCAGGCGACGCAGTAGTCGTGCTGATCCGGCGGCTCTATCGGTCCCGCGCAGATCTTGCAGATTGTTGCCATAGTGAATTCAACAGGTGAAGTAGAAGATTCTGACGTAATTGTCGCGTGCACCGCATTTTATACTGCCGCTCGAGCTCGTCAGTATTTGCATGCGATTTGCATACTTCGCGTCAATTGGCCAGTCATTTGGACTGGCGGGAGCCAATAGGACTTCAGGAAAGGTTGGAAGGGAAGGAGTTCCCATAACGGAGAAATATCTCCGTGATGTCTCGTGAAAGCTCGAGAGGGAACACAACTTTTCTTGTCTCGTCACATTCAGTTAGGAAGTACATTAATCATGTAAATGATACCATATTTTCAATTCAAAATGGCCATATTTACAAAAAAAAAGTTGAGTAGTTTGTATCCCTGGATATTACTGTTGTTTAACATTTCTATCGTAAAACAGTTAAAATATTAAATGTTTGGTACCGCTCTGCTTCTGTGAACTGTTAGGCCCCGCCTACTTTGATTTGATTGGCCATCGCAGTCATTTTAAAACCTTTTTGTCATCCTAACAACAAACAGAGCACTGTGTAATGGAGAGCAGCAGATCAGTGCAAGAATTTACATTATTAGGGTGACAATTTGGCCATTTCTAATCACTGGGGAGGACTTACTGTCTTTGGTGGTTACAGTCCTGGTCCTGAAGCAAACCCAGCTGAGAAGCACTGATGTAAAGCATGCTGTATTACTGTTATCTCATCATGGGGTGTTGTAGTTCCAATCCTAAGGATTGATTAGTTGTCCTGTAACGTGTGCACTTACTGTTCTTTTAAACGTGTGTTGTTTTGCTCAGATTGATTGAACTCCAGTGAGTGAATCAGCTGATAATGCCTTAAATAACTAAACATCTATTCACTCGCATCCAACTGAGCTTTACTCCAGTGATTTTGCTGTTACAGTTGTGTGTTTGAATCTATGCACGGAACTGACCGGCCATCCGGCCTGAGTGAAACAGACAGATCGGAGCGTATCTTCATGACTTGAGACACATTGAGCCTTAAACAAATTAATAAATCTACATGCTGGTGAGATTGTGTTACCGTGCCAGTGTTTGAATGTACGATCTGCTTGTGTGTCTGTTAAATGAATCGTTCACCCAGGACTCAGGCTATCCAAGATGTATATGAGTTTGTTTCTTCAATGAGAAATGTGTCATTGCATCACTTGCTCATCAATGGATGCTCTGCAGTGAATGGGTGCCGTCAGAATGAGAGTCCAAACAGCTGATAAAAACATCACAGTAATCCACACCACTCCAGTCCATCAGTTAATTCAATTCAGTTCAAGTTTATTTGTAAAGCAGCTTTACAGGAAATTCAGTTTCTACAATATATTTAGTAGTAGCTTATCAGTGGTGACTATGTCAAGTGTCAGAAATGTTCGGTAAAAATCAGTTAATGACGTAATCAAGCAGACGATGAACACTATTAACAGCAAGGATTATATGTTGCAATCAAACTTATAGCAAAATTTGGTAGTTCTGTATGTTGTTTCAGGGTTGGCATCATCTCTTCTCAGGTGTTTGGTCATCAGATTTTTTAAGGGTTGGATCCAGACTGAAGCTTGTGTAATTAATGTCTTGAGAAGACAAAAGCTGCATGGTTGTAACAAAACTCGTTAAGCCGTTTTAACTTCAAACTGTTGCTTCTGGCCAAAATCCTCTATCCATAATATTGCTTTCTCCAGTGAACAAATCTATTCTGACGGCACCCATTCACTGCAGAGGATCCATTGGTGAGCAAGTGATGGAATGACACATTCCTCTAAATCTGCTCCCATCTTGGATCTCCTGAGGGTGAGTAAATTCTCAGCAAATTGTCATTTTTGGGTGAGCTATTCTTTAAACTGGTCTCATAACAAGACATAGTAATTAGCTGGACAGCAATCAGTTGTCAGTTATTTCAGAGGTTTAGTTTGTTCTTTGTTAACTATGAACGGTGACTAATAATGTGTCTAACAGTTTTGTATATGTATAAATTATGACAATTTATGTTTCTTACTTTTATTGATACTTTTCAAAGCAAAAATTTAAATATATATTTAAAAAATCTGGCTCTATTTCTCATTCTTCTTTGCTTTAAAGGAGACATATTATGCCCCTTTTTACAATATGTAATATAAGTCTCTGGTGTCCCCAGAATGTGTCTGTGAAGTTTCAGCTCAAAATACTCCACAGATCATTTATTATATCATTCTGAAAAGGCCTATTTTGAGTGGAAGCAGAAACACGCTGTTTTTCGGGCCTGTGTCTTTAAATGCAAATGAGCAGCTGCTCCCCGCCCCCTTTTCCAGAACAGAGCTGCGCCATTACAACTCATACCTGCTAAAAACATCTGTTTTGGTTCTGATTATCATGTTTATCGCGCTGAAATCATGCGTTTTAAACCATATGAGTTTAAACTTCTGATATACGGTTTTCTGAGTGCACACATCCGAAGCACACGGACAGAAAGCGGCTGTCACACAGCATGTGAGGACTAAACTAAGTTCTCATTCACACAAGTTTACGTTAAAAGCACACACATGAGTTACAAAAACAGTGGGTTACGTCTGTGAAGGTAAACAGCTGGGAAATAAATTGCATGTTTATTTTAGATGTGTGGCAGCAGCAATATACAGTAAATAAATCAATAAATCCACTGCTCTCTTGTCTCTGAGGCTGGGACTGTAAATAGTGTTCTGTGCTCGTCTGTGCAGCCAAATCAGAACAGTTAGCATGCTTTGCTCAAACTTTCGCAATGGCATTAGAGCTGGTACACCGTTGTCGCTTGCGTAATCAAATGACGGCGCCGTGGGTGGAAACTTACAGATTAAGGGGCGGTAATATTAAAATGAGCTCCCTTTGCCACGTCACCAAGGGAGCGAAATCAGATGCTTTTTTTTACATGCTATGAGGTATGTAACAAATATAACATATGTTTGGTTACCAACATTTTTTTTAAATATCTTCAAAGTGTTAATTTTTGGCTGAACTATGCCTTCAAGTCGATATAAAGTCAGTCTGTAAGCGCACACATTCAAGTAGAAAAGTACATTGAACATTGTTCCAGCATCATTTCCAGGAAGAAATATTCAGAGCGATGCAGGGGATGTTGTCACAGTGGGAGCCTGTCATTAAAACAACCTATTATAGGCTTTTCAGCAAAATTAAAACGATTATAAAACACAATCAAATTGTTTTTAGGATAGAAAAAAAAAAGTTCTATACTTGTTGCCCAGATACACATTACTGGTCAAAAGTTTGGAATAATTTTTTAAGTCTTTCTGCTCACCAAGACTGCATATATTTGACCTCAAACACAGTAATATTGTGAAATATTATTACAATTTAAAATACCTGTTTTCTATCTGAATATATTTTAAAATTAAAATTGTAATTTACTATATCTTTTCTGACAACATTTCAAACCTGGAGTAATGATGCTGAAAATTCAGCTTTGATCACAGCAATAAACTACATTTTACAATATATTCACATAGAAAACAGTTATTTTAAATTGCAATAATATTTCACAATATTGCTGTTTGTTTTTACTGTATTACTGCCTTGGTTCTTAATTCAACTTTTTCTCTACCGCAAGCTGACATTTATGAAAGATACTTATATGAAGAGAGAACAAAGTTCATGTCATATCTAACTGCTGCATGTGCTTCTAGTTAACACCCATGTTTTTCATTTATTATTCTACGCTTGCCAAGTGTCTGTGAGTGTAGAGAACGGACAGATACACACACTCCACCCAGTTCAGATACTGAGGTTATAGCACTGATGTAATACAAAATTTTATTACAGTGCAAAGAATAAAACGATAATAATACATACTGGTAATTAATAACTAATAAGAAGCCACTGATACACTGATTTGTAATTATGCAATGCAAAACAAGGTAATACTACATAATAATAACTAATGCTTACTAATAATAATAATACTGTAAAATAACTGCAGTAATGTAGCCCAGAAGGCCAGAAGAAAGGCTTGTTGCTGTTGAAGACGCTGGTAAATGAGAATCAGCTGTTACGCAGCTCATGATGGGCAGGTTCACTTCAGCTCAACACATCAGAGTGCTTCCAGTCTCAAACGCTTCTAGCTTCACGTTCAGCGAGGAAGATGGGTTTCAAAGCCGTGAAGTTTCTTTTCTGTGTGATTTGTCTGGTGCGCTGCAGCCCGGAGCAGAGCTCCACAAAGAGAAAGAATGGCTAAAAAGGTAAAAGTGAAATCATTTGTCTAGCTACAACATTTCTATACAGCATAAACCATTTCTATACCCACATTTTTGTTTGTTTTTATGCAATTGGCAGTTTGCATTAATTAGATTTTACAAAATTAACTCATTCTTCTATTTTCAGAGTTTTTAATCCATTCTCAATTAAAAATATATTGTGCATTGTGAATTTGAATTGACCTTGTTTATGTATAATGTATAATGCTGTGCTTGTTTGCTGGTAATGAAGAGTCGAACAGTGCTGCTATCGAGGAGCTGAAGAAACAGATTGAGCAGACTGCGCAGGATCTGAATCTGCTCAAGGAACAACAAGCTTTACAAACAGGTACTGAGCAAAGCTGCATCTGTAAAGACATTGAAATATGTACACTAACAGTCATAAGTTACACATACTCAATTTTTTATTATTTTTTACTAATTAATTTTTTTTTTCGTATTTTTATTGTGGATTGTGGAAGTCAAGTGTGTCCTTGAACTTTAAATCAAGTCCTTTAACTTACTAGTGAAACATCAACTCCAATTAAATATTTGTGGTATATTGTAAAAAAGTTCATGGTGTAGTGGTTCATTGGTGTAGTTACGACATTTTCTAGCGGCGTATTTTCAGCTTTACTTCGGTTAAATGATTGACACCCAGATACACAACAACAAGAAGCATACTTCAAGTTTACTTTAAGGTAAGCTCAAGTATATTTTCAAAGTATAATTTAGGTAGTAAGTATACTAAAATCAGAGTAATAGTATACTTGTAAGTACTATTTCAATAGTTCTTGGGACTAAATTGGCTCACTTTTTAAGAACTAGTTTACATCTCATGTTTTCCTATGTATTGCAACTATACTGAAAACTATACTACAAGAGAACTTACAGGTTAGGGTGACTGTTACTGCAAACTTTGAAGTATACTCTCAGTAAAGTACTAGTTTTTATATTGCAAGTATAGATTTCTTTAAGCAAGCTTAAAGTTTATCGTTTACTATTTATATTATTTTTGCCCTTTAAGTAAATACGTTCATTTTTGAACTTGAAATCTGATCATTTAAATATTAAAAGTATATGTGTGTTAAGAATCAGTCATGAAAGTGTCTTTCTTTAAGTCGCTTATCATCATTAATTGCTCATCCTCATGTTGTTCCCGTAAGACCTCCGTTCATCTTCGGAACACAAATTAAGATATTTTTGATGAATTCTGAGAGCTCTCTGACCCTCCCATAGACAGCAAGGGAACTACCACGATCAAGGTCCAGAAACATAGCAAGGACATCAGTAAAATAATCCATAAGACATCAGGGGTTCAACCGTAATTTTACAAAGCTACGAGAATACTTTTTGTGCACAAAAGAAAACAAATAACGACTTTATTCAATAATTCAACAACAAGTCTCCTCCGCGACACCCTAGCACCATTTTGGAGAGTAAATTGCGTATGCTGTTTTGTGTCAGCTGCGCCACGCGGATACGTTGTTTTCGTTCGAATCAAAGCGTAAACGACGTAAACAGCGTATCCACATGGTGCAGCTAACACAAAACAGCATATGCAATTTACGTTCAGTAAATCCAAAATGGCACTACAGGGTGATGCGGAGGAGACGGATTGTTGAATAAAGTCGTTATTTTTTTTCTTTTGCGCACAAAAAGTATTCTCGTAGCTTTGTAAAATTACGGTTGAACCCCTGATGTCACATGGATTATTTTAACTGATGTCCTTGCTATGTTTCTGGACCTTGATCGTGGTAGTTCCCTTGTTGTCTATTGGGGCATCAGAGAGCTGTCAGATTTCATCAAAAATATCTTAATTTGTGTTCCGAAGATGAACGAAGGTCTTACGGGTTTAGAACGACATGAGGGTGAGAATTTAATGACAGAATTTTCATTTTCATTCAGCTGTTCAGGGTAATGACCTGGAA